ATATGAATGTTTATTAGAATTTTATTAGTATAGATATAAAAATTTGATTTAATTTTTAATTTTTCGATCTTATTAAATTTGCAAGTAAATGCGATTTTACATATGAATTAAGGAAAACAAGAAAATTAATTAATTTTAAAAATCAGTATGAGAACTGTGTTCAAAATTTGCACAGATATTCAGATGTAATAATAGAACAATCTGAAATTTTTATATTCATGGTAATGCTTTGAAACGTGACACATGCATCCTTAATAAGATTTCAAGACGAACGAAAGAGAGAATCATTTCCTCTTCGACGATCTCTTATAGGAATTATTCGAATATTATGATTCACATGTCGAGAGTGCATAAAATATGCATCAAGCACTTGAGAGTTTAAACTCTCCACGGAAACCGACGCGAATTTGTAATGTAGAATGAGAGGATGGAGAGGCAAAACCGACTTGCCTTGCAGTTCTCGTGCGGCACGCTACAGTTGTTGCATCCCGTATCCCGCATCCCGCATTCCGCGTTCGCATTTGCAGGGAATTTTTAAACGTTAACCCGTTTAATCGGATTGAAGATAATCGCGCAATTTAAGTACAATCGACCGAAATTTGCCTATCGCATCGGTGACCGTTTATTTGCATGAGATGCAAGCTCGGCATAAAACGATTTCCCCGAGTTTTACCAAACGGCACGTGGCCCGCAGGCCACACGAGGCACTTCTTTTTCCGGAGCTGATGCAAGAGGGACGGACTATTATTCGGCCCTGCACAATACATCCGACGAGGCTTTCACTGGTTATCGGTAACGAGCTACCTTCGGCCCATCGACATCGGGAAATCGCTGGTGCGCCTCTTCCACGATGTCTTTTATCAGAGCTACTTTCGAGAGTTTCTTCGAGAGTTTGCTGATGGAATCGGCGGTCAATGAGCAAAATCAAAGTTTGGGTTTTACAGAAATAAAGAGTGGTTATTTACTTAAAGTTTATTTAGGTTAGTTTTCAGATACTACTTACAAATTATTGTTATATAGAATAGCAGAATATGTTAACATTAGATATATTGATACAGATACTCTTAGGACGAGTATATACAAATACTTACACAGATACGTGCGTGCGAACACGGAGAAAATGGAAGGGACACACGCGAGTTTGTAGCCAGCAGGAACACCGGAAATTCGTATCTATCCTCCGGGGTAACCCGAGAAATCCGAGGACCAACATCCATGTCCACCTTCTCTCTCTCTCTCTCTCTCTCTCTCTCTCTCTCTCTCTCTCTCTCTCTCTTTCGAGTAAACTCTATCCTCCTGTCGATGCAACTTCCGCCCCATTCTCTCAAGTTTCTTTTTTTATTCGCTCCTCTCCATTAACGTCTTTTCTTTTCCGCGCTCGCAAAACTTTCTCATTATCTCAGCGAAAATACGCAACTCTCTTTCTCGGATTGAGTACGATTCAATTGGTTTTTTTTTGTTGTTCGAATAAGGAAGTGATTCTGGGTATTGACCCCTATAGACTGGCAAATCCTGTTTATGCGGCATTGTCTGGTTATTTTTAATTTCCATTGCATTTCGAGTATGCTCTTACTTTCTTTATTGTATCTCTCTCTTTTTAGCTTATTGATTTATAGAATATTAAGTGAGATCATTCTATAGTTTCAAATATTCATTTGATACATTTGATTCATTTACTAGATTATTCTATTTTTGTGTGCATTTGCTTGAACATGGCTCTTGTAATTTTTATTTTTTGTTTTTTTCATTTTCGTATTTTTTAATTGTTCAATTTTTCATTTGTAACCATATTTTATTTATATTTCGTGGTTTATTTATTTTAGTCTAGCTGATGAAGACTCAGTGAAAAGTTGAAATTATGCCATTATGTTTTAAAATAAAGTTTATGTCTATTTGTATTTGACATATCTTAAGGAGGTTCTCGTGTTTGATGAAAAATAAGACAAGTCTATAATATACATGTAATGCAAAAGTTAATATCAATAATGTCTAGAAAAAAATTTCATTAACTTTTATCGTACCCCATTTTGAAGATATTTAATTCTAAATTTATAGAATATTTTACATTACAAGTTGAAGATATAACCTTATTCTGTAGTTATTCTCTTTTAAATTGAAACACTTGCATATAAGACAGCAATTTAAAAATCGTTATTAATCATAAAGTAAACACTTAAGTTTGTTCTCGTAAAGTTTCATTTAAACTGACCGTACAGTTTACAAGAAATTTATATTCTTCAATGAAAAAAGGTAGAATATATGTCAAATGGACGATGCGTATATGGTACATCAAATGAACATCTTACAACTTTTATTTTGTTATTTTGAAAATATTTAGTAACATATAAAATTAATAGTAATTATGTATAATGGCATAAGATATTGTTAGTAACCTTTTTATTCCATTATTTTAATTATTTTACATATTATTGTGAATAAACTGTCTATTGACTAGGAAATAGCGTGAGAACCTCCTTAATTGCTCATCGTGACTTTCTTTTTTTCATGTAACTTGCTTTAAATATTCAAAATTTGACAATTAATCATTGAAACATTACAAAGAAATTACAGATAGTATAATATTTTAACATATCGCTTCTATAATCTGTCTCAAAATGATTAAACGTCTTTTTTTGTTCTATAACGTTTACGAATTTTTATGTAAATACAAAAAGCAGATTATAATAATAATAAGAAACATTAGATACCTGTATAAAATGTAAGCATGATGTAATCGTCGAGACAGGAGTAATATATTAATATTTTAGTGACAATCATCACACTTTCAACTTATAGAATAAAGTAAACTTATAGAAAAAATACATAAATTAATAATAATAAGATTGAAAGACCGTTAATGTTAACTACAATGCTTTAAATTAAGAAGCGCCATAACGGTCAGAACGTTAAGATGTTGAACTATTGTAAATTCATTTAAATGAATTAATTTCAGAAATGATAATTGCGTGCCGATATGGTTGTCGGACTTTCAACGCAATCAAATCTGAAAATATTAATAATCCCCCCAAATTCCCCAACTTAAAAACTGTAATAAAACTTATTGCGAAAAATAATGCCTCGGCCGGGAGTCGAACCCGGATCTCTTGCATTCCGTGCGAGCGTCCTAAGCCTTTAGACTACCGAGACAACGGAATGCAAGAGATCCGGGTTCGACTCCCGGCCGAGGCATTATTTTTCGCAATAAGTTTATTACAGTTTTTAAGTTGGGAAATTTGGGGGGATTATATTTTCAGATTTGATTGCGTTGAAAGTCCGACAACCATATCGGCACGCAATTATCATTTCTGAAATTAATTCATTTAAATGAATTTACAATAGTTCAACATCTTAACGTTCTGACCGTTATGGCGCTTCTTAATTTAAAACATAAATTAATTATCTACAAAATCAAAGTAACTCGATTACTTTGATGCATTTTTCAATTATTTTTCTCGTAAATAAGTATGTTTTTTTTATATCTAGAACTACTTCATTTTTGCTGAATGTATGACTAATAATGAATGTGACATGGCGTTCGGCTAATAAGATCGGCTAATAGAATGCTTGCTTAATAGAATTGTGGGTAGTTAAAGCACGGACGGATGCAACGCGTCGTAGCAAATCGGACGCGATGGACGTTCCTTTGAAGTTTAATTCTCGGTGTAATTAGAGTCACGCCCGGCCATACAAAGTCGACCGTGCACGTCGTTACGACATTGTTCTCGCCGGCTGTAAATACGTGTCTCGCGATACCACGGCTAACGATTATACGATGGGATTCAAGTTATTCGTTGAATTTTCGACGCAGCGTTTTTCGCTGCTCGTCAACGTGACAAAGGGAGCGAGATATGTGAGAACGGGCGAGGCGGCATTCTGCTACCGGCTTTCGCGAATTGCATCGCGAAAGTTTTCACGAGAACTTTTGTTTCATTTGGGAACGAAATCCAGTTATTTCATTTTTGAACCTGGCGTCAAGGATTTTTGCTGAGTGCAACAAAACCCTTTGATATCTTTGTATTCGTACATGTCATTAACGAACATGCATTATTCTAAGGCTGATATTAATAATATTAATTGAAACAGTTTTCTGACATCTGAGCTGCGGCCCGCAGATTTTCACACGGATTCTCTTCTCTATTCTCTTCGCCAACGCAAATTATACTAGCTAGTTTGGCGCATATATTTTCCGCTTGTAACTGCTTTGTAAAATATTGCAGAGAGGAAATGGCTGCGGGCGTAACATACACACGATTCACAAGTCTACCGTGAATCCACAAGTTCGTGATTACTGTAAATTAGAACGATAATACAAGTCATAAAAAAAATTTACTTGCTTACTGCAACTCAATCTTTCTTTGCCCTTAGATTAAATTCCATGGAAGACAGCAATCTTATCGCGTAGATCACAGACGTCGATAATTTCATTTAAGAAGTCGTATACTTTTTAGTAAAATTAATTTTAAAAATCTACGGAGCATTTTAATAACTTATACCGGTATTTATGCTTTAATTTTTTCGTTACTATTTTAATAGTCTATATTGGATATTGTGATTTATTGAGAGGTATTCGATTTACACAGGGCATAACTGACTGCAAACTCAATCTTTTCTTATCATTAAATTAAATATTGCTGAAGATAGTGCAATTTTATTGTGACGAAAAATTATTGACATCGATAATCTCGCTTAAATATATATATAGATACGTATTATATAGATATTTTTTAAATTAAAAATTCACGAAGCATTTTAATGAAAATTTATATTGGCTTTTATTGTTTCGTTGCTGTTTTAATAGTCAATATTGGATATTGTGATTTATTTAATCTCACCTAAGTAGTCATATTGTAGATATTTTTATAATTGATATAAAAAATTCACGAAACATTTTAACGAAAACTTATACTGGTGTTTATGCTTTTTAATTGTTTATTATATTGAATATTTTGCTATTTGCTAAGAAGTATTTAATTTACACGAAACTTAGACTTATAACTTACCCATCTATCAGTGGCACGTCCTTTAGAATTCTGCGAGCTGCCGCGAGGCGATCTCCTGCGTGGGCCGCGAGCAAGATCCTCGTCAGTAGCTGACCAAGGACCATCACGCCCACCACCATCCTCATCCTCCTCCTCGCTGGACCCGCAGCGCGTCCTTACTAATGTCCTCATGCCATCACCATTAACCCACCGGCTCACCCGCAGCACTTCCTTCAACCGGGTTGCAGGATGGCCAGGATGTAATAGGATCGTCGATCCAACTCGTCTCGAGTTGCGTATCTAGTTAACTTCCACAAAAGGATTATCTAACATGACCATATTCTTAATGGCGACAGTTTAAAGACCATTGTTGTACGACAGTGATAAAGATTTATCTAAATTTTTCGAAAATTCTTCGAGGACTTTCTCAAACTCGTAGACTATTTTGTGAGATCTCAATAGCGAGTTCTCCTGGGATTTGGGAGGAATCCGGCAATGTTTTTTTACTGATAAGATCAGCCGGAATCACGCACACGATTTTATCACCACGTAGAAACACTCCGTCTCTTCTTTTGCTAGGATAACAGAGTTCAGGAATCAACGTTCACCTTTCTCTTCAACCGACTCTTCTTATCTTCGGCGCATTCGTCTTCACACATCCTTGAGCCCACCCTAATTTCTCACATCTAGTGGCCTCGAAGATCCACTTTTTCCACTGTCGCGATAGCTACTTTAGGCCCTTCCTCCTTTGGTTCTATCCAATCTTTCAGATTAACCTCCCGGTCTCATTGCCATACACTCCGTCCGACGCAGCTGCTCAGCGTTTCTTATTCCTCTCGTCTTCTGGTTTTTTGTCCTTTAAGTGGAATGCCCTCTTCGTGTGTGTTACTCGTCCTAGCACTTAATATCTCCGCGCCGCAAAGCCAACCGTCTTTAATGCGGACGCTGATTTTTGATCACAGTGTTGCGATGCATTTAAACCGATTTATCCAATTCCTGCCGTAGCTTGAAATTTGTTCGTTCACTTTCGGAATTAATCTTCTGAAACGTGCCTCGTTGAAGCGTGCCGTTTGTGCCAATGCCACTTGCTCGAATGTCTGCACGTTGATTCTTTGCCGGCATTTACCTAGTCGATCGAGAAATCAATTACTTGATGAGTTCCTCCTTGATAGAGCTATTCTTAATAGCAAGATGTACTTAGTGTGCTTTCCAACTCCACCCGTTACAAATTCTGCGGAGGCGAAGATGACTTTCGAAGCATCGAGTCGCCTCGGGGATTTGCTTCGATAGTTTGATCAGGTAGACAGGCTTTCAGTGGTTTTCCCTCGTTCTTGCGTCGTCTTTCTATCAACTCTTAAGGATTGAAGGCCTCCGAGTAGCGCCCTTATCGACTTCTTCACCGGCGCTCGAAAGATCTAAAGCCAGTCAGTAATCGAAGACACGTCACCCTTTCCGCGATCCTCGCCAGTGCAAAGTGCCGCTGGTTGAAACCACTTAAGCGAGGTTATCGATGTCGATGGTCTTTAATTTATGTCGGCACCAGTCCTTGGGTTCGACGCACTTTGATCGAACTATCCGCAACGGGTGTATTTAAAAGAATTGAATTCCAGTTAGCTCTGTTAATTAAGGCAACATCTCAAATGTCGAATCTTCTCACCGTCTTGTCTAGTACGCGCTATATTCGCAGCTTGTGCCACAGTTGAGAATTTCACAGAGCCGTTACCTTCTCGGGGGTGTCGTGCTACGGACGGTGGTCCCACAGGCGGTCCGCTCGTTACCGTCCTGAAGATTAATTAGACCGGCGAGACGGAGATGTCGTACTACCCGAGCGCGAAAACCTTTCCCTAGTTCCTTCTTTATTCCCGCGGTCGGGGATCAGTGTTCCGGCATGTTTTTTGATACGCGATCCATCTTCCGATATCCTCGCGACGGTTCTCTTTTTTCTCTCTTTCTCTCCCTTTAGAGAATTAGCCCTTCCTCTTCTTCGTTGTTACTAAATCACTTGCATCGGCCACGTCGTTTCATAATCGTGCGGCAAATGTCACTGTCACACAACGCGGCCCGTAAATCCGTCGCGATTAATTCGGCACTCGATTAAGTTGCGCGATTAATTGCGCACTTGGAACGCGGCGGGCGGATCTCACGGCGCCACAGCCAACGGCTTCGACGTCACTAGGAAATGAATTGCTACTCGGTCCGGATATTTTCTAACTTCCGCTGACCTGTAAGAGGTAGATTTTTCTAACTCGTAGCTCGATTTGCGAAGAAATATCACGTGGAGGAATCTTCGACGAGGAATATAGGTCGGCGAATTGGTACGAGTTGAAATTTACGTGATAGTTCGATTTTAATTATCGCAAAAGTTTTAAAATGCACTATTAATGTCACTTTGATAAATTACATACTCGATCGAACTGCATTTTTAAATTTGTTTGCCATCGCGTCGCGCAGTAGCCATGAATGAACCGATAGTGGATCAAAAGAACGTAATTAAAAATTAATATCCACATTAACAATTGGCTTTTGTAACAATGATGCTACGTACCGAGAGAAATTAACGCCAGCTCAAAGTCCCGGGTAAAGCGAGTAGAATTTTCGGTCTCCCTCTAGTAATAATATGATTATCTCCTCCATTAATGTCTTACTCTCGTCAAAATTAATAGAGACCAGATTGGTTAGCATCGCGTCGGATTACGGAAAGGCGATCAAGTTGGTGCATAGCATCAGCTATAATTGATGACTATAATCCGTTCGTCACTGTTATTCCCGCGGGTATTTCCGTCGCAACATTTCGAGTTATCGTAACATCGAACGTTACGGTGATAATTCTCGCGTAATCATCTATAGCCATAATTTTTTTTTGACACGTAATCTCATTTTATGCGTCACATCGAACGATCGTAATCTTCTCATCGCGGTTGATAATTCGACAGCTTATAGAAGACAGGATAAACCGAGGGAAGGGGATGGCTTGCAACAACGAGGCCGTTAACGTCGATTGCGACTAATGAGTTAGCTTGTTCATAATTATCGGCAGACGCGCGGTCGCTCACGCCCGGTTAACGCCGTGATACATGGTATTTATCTACATGCCAATGATTAATTAATGCTAACGGCATTAGCGATCATGTCTTTTCAACAGTTGCGGCATATGCCGTATTGTGTATTAGGTGCTCTTTAACTATTCCGCCAATAATACCCATATCAAATTTTAACAGTAAAAATTTTTATTGCAAATGAGTGAAGAGAGTCATGTTCGATTAAAACGGATCTTGGTGTCTACAAGAAATATTTTGTGTCAACTTTTACAATTTCCAATTCAAGCAAATTATGCGTTGAGTATTTATTGATCTTGATACTTATTGTTAGACTGAAGCTGGAGTAGATACGTACTTTATAAATTAAATTGATAAGCAATTTAATATTACTGATGCTAATATAAGTATCTTAAAAATAATACAAATAATTTATTTATATAAAAATTTTTATATTTTTGTAAATAAATTTCGTTTCAAAAACTTTATCTTTCCAAAAGACAATTTTGCACAGATTTTATTCCGTTTTCACTTTTACATTTCTTGTGGAAATCTTATGAAACCTGTTAGGGGAAAGGAAAATTATGCATTAACAAAAGGCTTACCCTTCTGTTATGTTAATACGGAGGATTTTCGTCATATATTTCTTTCGTTTTATGAAGAAGATCTGAAACAATTATAATTTGCTGGGTACACGTTTTGAAACTAGAGGTAACGATCGGTGCGAAAATTTAACTTGATACAATCGTTCTCTATATTAATCACATATTGGATTGTTAATTAATTTTTAGCAATGTTTTTAATTTATAGAATTTTAATATATAAAAAAATACAACAGACAGATATACAATACCGTGAAAAGTTTGGAACAATTCTATATTTTATTTGCACAGCGGATATATTTATCTAGCATCTGCCACATTGTTTATCGAAGCATGTGTCTATTCGAACTTATAATGAAAAAACTTTTTCACGCACAGAGAAACGAAATTTCGTTTCCCATATCGAATGCAGGTCATCGCGGTGATTTGAACTTTTATTTCAATCGCCGTTCGAGCATATCTTTTTTTTTATAATAGGGCACGTTTGATGGCGTTAATTGACGCGAGGGAACTTCATCGACGTCGTAAGTTTAATATTCGAAGACGCGCGCGAACGACCCATATTTTAGCGTGACGTGGAAAAGTGACAAGTTAATTTAACGATCGGCAAGATGTACAGTCATCGCTGATAGCCGCAGACTTTTCCGTAAAAACGCGAATCGAGACGGATGCACCTGACAGCTGCGTTTCTCGGTAGACATTTCGAACGTTTCTTTCAACAGTGTATCGAATCGCCGCCAAGTTACTGGAATTGCTTTCGACGAAACTATGATAGATTTTTCTGTCAAACACGAATGGGGTGACTCTGTATAATTATTTCTATTCAGCGTTTGAACTATATAAAATCGTTGACATCTATTTATCTATTTAAAACGGCAAATTATCTTTTGAAACTGTGCTTCTTCTCACAATTTTATTTACCGCAACTGACTTGAAAATATTCCAATATTTTTTATGAAAATCGTTTTGTATGTAACGTTGCGACGAAGGGTGTGCGATTTAAATAAACGCGATGCTTCTCCGCGAGATCTTACCACGGACGTTTCTCTCCGCCCTTTCGTTCCTATAAAAATTCCGGTGCTCGTTCCGCAGGACGGTACACGTCTCATAAAAGTTTGGATGCGGATGCAGGACGCATCTGTTCCGCTCATAAAAAGTCACAGAAGTGAAGTTCCCGATATAAGATCCTCCACGCGATTTTCCTCGCAGGCCAACTACGAAACTTTTTACGAAGCTTTTCAATACTAGTTTTGCCCTTCACGAAAGCGAGATTGCGAGATCCTGTTTACGGGCGTGCGGATGAAACGACCGGCATGCTCCGGCAAGAAACCCGGAATGTCCTCGAAATTTCGTACGTGATCCTACTTCGATCTCTTCTCCGACGTGTGCAGTGGGATAGGTCGGCGCAATCACGACCCACATATACCGGAGGGGTGGTTCCGTCGGGTGGGTGCGTCGCGACGCGGACGACGGCGCAGATCGTGCCGTTGCTCGCGGTCCGGAGTTGAAGACCCGACTGCTGGAAACGCACGCAGGAACTCCGACACAGTCGAGGGCGCAGGCGCCTCCGCGTCTCTCTGCGATCTTCTCCCGTTACACGGAGGCTGCCCCGTCGCACC